ATTGCAGGCGGTGCAGCTTGCATTGGAATGTGATGTGGACCACATTAATTATGACAGAGTAATTTAAAATATAGTGGTCCAACAAAAATGCCAACAAAGTCAAAGACATTGAGGATTGAATTTGTGTGACCTGAGGAGCATTAAATGCTAATGTAACGTTTAACTCCTTTATAGGTCAACAATCTTATACCTTTAGATTTGTTTGATTATTTAGTTTCAAAAATACATAAGGAGCATTAATTGCAGCGCTGATCACAAAGCTCTGAAACGTGATTGATGATAAATTAGAAGAAAGTGGATGAATGGTCTAATCTTAGTCGTATTGTCCAAAAAATAAAAATTTGAATTATTATTTTGTGGGTTTAAAAGTGCACAACAACTTCGGACTACTATAAATACGACACTTCATTCTCATTTTTTCACCACAACAAAGTTCAAAGCATTGAAAGTCAGATTTGTTGAACTTATGGCATTGCTGCGCATGCGGAGGGTAAATTGAGTTGGTTTTGCACGATAAAGAGGTATACACTCTAATTCATTATTATTTGTGTAGTGATTTATCAGATTAATGTATTTAAATTACAATGAATGAAAATTTAATGTTAATATGATATGATGTAACCACTTTTACGGGGGGTCATTCATGCAGACATGCAGTTGTAAACGGCCTCAGATTGGTCTATTCAATTGAAAGATCAAAGAACACAATGTTCTCTTGTAACCATCTTACCTAATGAGTTCCCAAGTTTTCTGTACAACATCCAACAATTTGAAATACATCAAGCCCAGAGAGTTGTAAATGACAAGTTTCTTATAGATAAGATGACTACACATTTATAATTTTATATCATTATTTTAATAGCAGTTTTGTACTCTAATAAAATGTTCCTTATTTTTTACATAGATGTCATTGGGATGGTAATTGGACACTACCCACATCAAACACATGAAATCAATGGTAGAACTGAGAGGAAGATGGAGCTTTCACTTGAAGGCAGTGTAATTTTTAGAAATGTCATGGCAAAATGTATTTCGTGGTTTTTAAATTAGTTCAGTATAACAGTACTTTTGTATATGAAAACAGTTCACTATTACCATGCCATTTCGTAAAAGCTCAACCCAGCACACACTTTTTATTATTGAGATTCTAAACTTAAGTTTCTTGGTGGATACATATAAATATAAAAAATACAGTTTTATACTTCAGATTATAAATATAAAAAATACAATGTTATTATAGAATTATAGTCCAATAAACCTGACTGCATCATAGTAATTTAATATAACACCATAATCAAGTACTTTACTAAAACAAGCGGGCTAGCGGGGTACTCAAAGAGATTTGAAAAACAAAATTATTTTTCAATAAATAGCTTGGTATCAAATAGATTAGATTTTTAAAAATAAGAATAGGTGTGTGTGTGTATTGTTATATTCTAACTAGTGTGGAACCCGGGGCATGCCCCGGTAGTGTTAATTTGATATAAGTTGAGATGAGAAGTATCAATAAACATTGTGAACTAATTAATTTATGGGATATAATCAAAAGTGTTGTGTAATATTAATTATATATGATTATTATAGATTTCGTCTATTTGTAGTTTTAAAAAGTTGAAATTTTGTCCGATCTGGTCTGATTTGTTTAACTCTGAATTAATCTAGTTTAATATTACCTAGTTAATCAATCCAATTCAAACTCGGCTAAAACTTTTTATAAAACAATAGATGTTTTAGAGTTTGTTTGGTGATCTTGCTTCTGGCTTATCCATCTTACCGGCAAACTTTTTCATCGAGCACGTAAGTTTTGAATTTGCGCGTTGACTTGTGTAATAATTAAAATAAGTAAAGTTGGAACTACTTTTCTGAAGTTATTCTAAAGGACTATTTTAGCTATTTTTTTTATATAATTTTACTTTTTATTTTATTAATAAATATATATTTTAAATATAATTTTTTCATGACTCAGAAGAATCAATTAACCAATCCAACCGGTCAACCACTTCAGCCAAAACTTAATAAATATCAGTAGAATCAGCCGACTGAGCCAATTTCAGTGTTACCAAATAGGCTCTTAGTAGTAGTGATGCACCGAGTGAATAGGAGTGATGCACCGAGTGAACTTGGATTAATTAAATGTTTTAGCAGTAGTGATAATAGAATTTTTATTAATATAAAATTTATACTATATATTTTTATCTACCGACTAATACATCATTGATTTATAATTTAGTTATAAATATATGAAAATTACTTTTTATTTATAAATATGCAATATTGGTGTCATATGAAAGAAAAATTATCTTTCACTCTTCTTCCAAGGTGTTAATTGCTCAACTTAATTAAGAAATAGCAAGTTTCATAAAAATCTTTAGGGGTAGTCTATTTTGTTTTTATTTTGGGAAATAATAATTACATTATGAATCCGATATGGATCTTTTTTATATGAATCAAATCCAAGTAAATTAAAAGTTCGAATATTAATGATGTTTTTACTGTTTTTGGACTGTTTTCACTCTCAGACCAAACCAGATCAGATCAGACCAGACCAGATCAGACTTGGACGAATATAAAATACAAAGAAATCAGTCATTTACCAGATCAGTTCAGACCAGTTCTGACCAGACCGGACCAGAAAATTTCAGTCCAAGTAAACATCCTAAATGCTTAAATTTATCCATTTTAATTAATAGTTAAATTAAAAATAAACTTTAACCTCAGGATGTTCGCACCAATTAATCAAACATATTGCAATTCTATGTTTGTATTAAGGTTATGCACATTTAGATTTAATTTGTAATTTGTTCATGTTCTATATTAATTTTATATGTTTCATCATTTACATATATAGAGTTTATAAATGTTTGGTTGATTTTCAAAAGTAATACGTATAGTATAAATAATGAGTTTATATCAAAGAGCTGCAAAGTATACTATTTATAGATTATTATTTTTAATCATTGTATACTATTTATAGATGGAAGTGTTACATTCAGCTTTGGATAAGATTTATCATAAACTTTGAATTATTAATTACTACGTAGTATAAGCATATAGAAGAGACCTAGTCCAATTGAGTTTACTATTTTTTCTCCTAATCGGCTGTTGTTATTAAATTAATGTTATAATTATATTTGTTATCCAATCAATGAATGACACATGTGCATTTTATAACTCAGTTTTACTATATAAAACAATAGATGCCAAAGGGTGTTTTTAAAACCATAACCAGTAACATTTATGGCTACTGTAATATAATATTATAATATTATATAATACATTATAATATATAATATATAATATATAATATATTATAATATTATAATATAATATAATATAATATAATATAATATAATATAATATAATATAATATAATATAATATAATATAATATAATATAATATAATATAATATAATATAATATAATATAATATAATATAATATAATATAATATAATATAATATAATATAATATAATATAATATAATATAATATAATATAATATAATATAATATAATATAATATAATGTTGTTATCTCCTATATATTATATAGGAGCACAAACAGAAAGGCTGATCTTCCGGGTACCAAGCCCTGCCACCTCCAAACACCTATAAATATACCATTTTTCTTTCCCAATAAATTCACCAATTCTCATATACTCTTAAGCTCAGGTCAGATAAGTGTTTTCTTTATATTTTCTAGCATGTTTAGTCTCCAATAAGGAGCTAAACCATTCCATCTTGGTTTTGCTACATTGAAACTTATTGATTTGTAGATTGTGACTTATTTTCTTTAATCATCTTCCTTGAATATTAATTACATTCCTATTTTACACCCCATATTAATATTTTGAGCATCACTTAAAGGATCAACTAGTTTTGTTTCAAATATTTATTATTACAAGGATGGATCGATTAATACGCTTGTTATTCATTCGATCCTTTCAACGGTAGTAAAATTGGATTATTAATGCATGTGTTTCATGATTAATAATGTAAGGGGAATTAATTATTAATTATATTGATTAAACCAATAAACTGCTTGTGTTGAGGTTATCAATCTCAATCGATTTAATCTTAAGTTTTATTGCAACTATCGGGTCAATATACGGCGTGTCTTCTATATTGACTTGATAGTAAGTTTTATTAATGAACGTGTCTCGTTATTAATAACTACCTTCGATGAATTGGAGATACTCCATGATTGAGTATTCGAGAGGAAGATAGTTAAAGATATAACCAGGATTGACAAACATTTCGTTAAGTGGATATAAGCAAAACCAAGTCTCCATTTCTATTAATTAAACTCATATAAGTCGTTCATCTTAGTGTTAAAATTAAATAAAATCAAACAAACCTAAAACCCTCATTGGTACTATTTTATTAAAAGAGAAATATTCTTTTCCTTGCGGATACGAACTTTACTACGCTATACTACGGTATTAGTGCGAGTATTGTATTTATTTTGAGGCACACGATGACTTTAGTGCCGTCAACATGGTCGGATACTTAGATGCTGATTTCGCAGGATGCAGAATGGACACAAAAAGTACTTCCAGAAGTGCTCAACTCTTAAGTGACAAGCCAGTCTGTTGGTCATCTAAGAAGCAAAATTGTGTGTCAACATCTACAGCTGAGGCAGAATACGTCGCGGCTGCTAGCTGTTGTTCACAAATACTATGGATGAGGACACAACTAAAAGACTATGGCTTCACCTTCTCCTACATTCCAATCTACAATGACTCCCAGAGCGCCATATCCATCACGTGCAATCTAGTGCATCACTTCAGAACAAAGCATATCGATCTTCAGTATCATTTTATCAAGGATCACGTTGAAAAGGGCACATTAGACATGTACTCCGTGTCTACTGATCTTCAACTAGCATAATCCTTTATTAATTTAAGACAAAATTTTTACTTTCTCATTTATCAAGACTACTCTTAGCCTTGATTTACCTTCTTTAACCCAGTACTTGATGAAAAAATTTTCTCACAGTAAAATTCGGGTCTGGTGTTACAAGTTCACCCCACCTTACAGGAATTTCGTCCCCGAAATTAACGTCTGAACCTTGAGAAACATTTCTCCCTTCATTTTCTGAAGCTAAAAATTTTGAACATAAAACTATTTATGGAAATTAAGGTTTAATTTAATAATACCTTATGCCATAGTCGGGCCTAACAAATGGCTTCCGCCATTCCCGGCCTTCACGAGCGAGTTCGCCATTGACTTGTAGAAGGTACCATGTTTGAGGCAACCCTAGTTGGGTTTTCAACCCCCGTGACCCCTCCTCTAGCTCCTGATGTTCCTTCACGCGTACGTTGAGGACAAAGGACCTTGATGTGGCCTGTTTCTCCACAAAAGTAACATCTAGATGGCTCTCGACATCTCCCGTAATGCCTTCGCCTACAATTCTCGCATTTGGGTGCCCCCGTGCCTCGAGTGCTTGAGCTTTGACTTACCAAGTCCTGGCTCTCACTGAAAAACGGAACTGACTTGTTAGAGTTCCCCTTGCTCTGAAGTTCATACTTCCCCTCTCGTCGTGGAGGGTGAATGATCACCTGATCTCTTTCTTGTGCTTCCTTTGCATCCCTTGCTTGCCTTTCCTTCCAAAGCTCCTCCCCCTGGAGACCCTGGGCTACTACTTCACTAAAAGTCATGTTGAATTGGTAGGTCGCTCTTTCGCGTATTTCCAAATTGAGTGCATTCCAAAAATGGTTTGCCATTCGGTTCTCATTTGCGGCATACTCAGGCAAGAACCTTGCCAGATGTCGGAATCTTTGTTCCAGTTGCTTCACCGTAAACTCATTTCCCTGTTTGAGATCGATATATTCCCTCCTCTTTCGATTTACTTCGAAAGAGGTGTAAAACTGCTCATAGAATGCTTGCTCGAAGTTGTCCCACGTGACAACCCCATCAAACTTACCCTTGGTGCCTTCCCACCAAGTAGAAGCTAAACCCTCCAATAATCTAGTGGCTACCCTTAACTTTCGTTCAGGGACCACTTGCATGTCATCAGCTGCATCATTCAACCTTTTTATCCACTCGGCTGCTTCCGATATGTCCCCCGTTCCATCAAATGACTTGCACCCCAAGGCTCTAGCCTCTTTGAGGTACCTTGAGATCTTAATGAATGGTCCTTCGTCATCAGAATCTCTGACTGTCCTAACTTGTGCTCTATGAGCACCCTGACCCCTCATGAGAGAGGTCTCGCCTCTGACATGTCCCTCCTGAGATCCCTGTCGTTGTCTTCCCATTTCACGTTGGTACCATCGGTACATCTCACTAACATGGTCCGGAGGAATACTACGTATATCCTCTCCACTGTTTTCCTCAAAGGAAGTTTCATCTGACTCGCTTTCAGGGTGATAAGTTGAGTCATCCTCTGAGTTCCACGACTCGAATTCAGTCACATTGTGATCAGCCATCGTGGCTCGTGTTCGTGGGCCTTGGTTGCCCATACCTCGCCTTTTACGCGACCTTGATATTCCCCGATTGGCTTGCCCGGCTATCCCCGGGGCGCGCCCTCTCGGATTTCCTCGAACCGCCCTATCACTACCACCCATTCCTGAAAGAATATGTTGGAATGAGTCTTTGGACTCGTTTGAATGCCAATTGACAGAAACGTACTCAAGACACAACTTGGCTCTAGTCACTGTCATACCAATTGTTAAGGGGCCCATCTTAACAACCAGAGACCTTGCAACTCGATAACCAAATGCTCTTAAAGTACAAAACTTATGCTCATGGTTTTTCATTGAAAACTGTTTTGATAGAAACTCTGTTGAGAGGTTGACTATATAGTTTAGAAATCGTTTGGCTCTGATACCACTTAATTGTCACGCCCCAGACCGCGTCTGTGCCACGTGGACAACCGTCGTACAACCCAATAAGAATAACCGCAGTTCATCCTTACCGAATTGCACAAGACGTCCGATAGATACATATGCCAAAACCGATTAGTAAACATACATAACAACATCAACATACAATCAAACACATAGCGGAATATAAGTGTTTAATAAGAACCCACACAAGGGTAAAACAAGAGCTCGCAGGCTCCTTTAATTTATAAGTCAAAATAGTTCCATGAGCATTATTTAATTATTTTAAAAAAAATAGAACGAGAGGAAGCACGAACCACGTCTTCTCTCCATCGATCTCCCGAGCAACGGGTGCAGGAAGTAAGCTCTAGCTTCAACCTGAAAGGGTGGTTCCCCCGAGGGATCAGTACTACAGAAAAGTACTGGTGAGGGCAAACTGTATGTAATGTAACTAACGTTTCTCACGTGAGACCCTCAAAATAGGGTGATAGTATAATTATGGGCATAACTCTTAGCTACCCCTTTTCAAAACAAAATGTATACATATATACATATGAGTAAAATATCTGGCCCGTGGGCCCATTTGTCTTTCAAATCATTTAGGCGTAACAGCCTCATTAAATTCACCCTTCCCATGTCTTACCCTCGAGTGGAGTCACCCGCAGGCTAACTCACTCGATGCCAAAATAAAATTACTGTGGGGCCCTTTGGACTCCCATATCACGGACATGGTTTAAATCAATTCCTAGACCAGGGAAGATATTATACCGGAAACTCGTTCCCGATCAAGCACGTTCACTACTAGAAAAATGGTCTATAGTGACACTAAATTAGTGTCACAGAAAGTTTTTCTGACACTAGAAAAGTGTCAAAGAAGGTTGGGAATTGTGACACTAAATTTAGTGTCACTGGTAAAGTGTCACTAATTTCTGACACTAATGTATCACAAAAAATTCTGATAAAATAATATCACAATATATTTTGACACATTAGCATCAACTAAATTTATGATACATTGGCATCACTTAATATTTTGACACATTAGTATCAATTAAATTTATGATACATCGGTATCACATAATGTTCATGATATATAAATTTATATATTATATATACATACACACGAAATATAAGATTATTACTTGAAATATAAAAGTGACAATGCGAAAAATCAAAAAGCGCTTCTTTCTTCAAAAAAAAAATCATCATTTAAATTCGAATTCGAATGTCATACACATTCCAACATTACAAAGTCAACTAAATTTGTAATAAACTAATTTCAGATCCTGAACTACTAGAAGCTCCACCTATAACTAAATGGGTTGATCTTCAACATGAGAGCATAGTGCTTCTTACTTGTTGGTGGCTTTTCAATATCTGAAAGAAATAAAATCAAGACACATTACATAGCGACAATGAATAATGTTTATGTGACAGTTCAATCTAAGAAGGAAAACGGGATGAACACAGTTCAAAAAGCACCTATGAAAACCAAGGAAATAAAAATAACAGACTTGGCTGAGTCGAAATTAAGCCCATATGTCAAGTCGCTCAAATTTGATTTCCTGAAATTCATTAAATGAATAAACATATAGAGGAGTTTTCGGATATCATTTGCTGAGTGTGCATCAGCTCTGTAATTCTAACAAGTAAACAAATAAATAAATGACCATAAAAAGAGTATATTTAGTGATAATAATACACACCTCAAATAGTTCAATTTCTTGGTCAGGAAGAAATCCAGCCACGTCATTCAGCTTTGCTAATAATTCAACTGGTTTACCAGTATTCTTTACAAAAAACGACCAACATACCTAAACCAAAAGAAATTAATTATGTATCATTTTCTAAATCGAACTGGTAACACTAGTTGAGAAGTTTTTTCTTACTTCTAGTGAACAGTTTACCGTAATTGTTCTTTTAAAGGATCATAGAGCTTAAAGAAAAGAAGTAAGTCGTCTTCACTCTTGTGAGGTGGAGGAATGAAAAGTCGATTCTTTTTATGAAGATAAGGGAAACAAAAACAGTTACCACCACAACATCAATAACATATTACTATTTAAAAAAGGCATATTTTAAAGCAAGGCATAATATAAAAAGATACTCTAGTCGTTACCGTTACTGGTCCATATTCTACTTCCAAGAATAACTTAAGCTCTGCATTGTTGGTCTTGTTGGAAACTTCTCTCAATTCCCCAACCTACACTTCAAAAGTAGGGATGATGAAACCTACAGTATTTACCAGCTCAAATGAAAAAACGGAAATATATAATGAAAAAACGAAGGAGTAAGATTGACATACATATGAAACTAAACCTGAAGTAATCAAATAATCATCGTTTTCTATTTTTATTTGAAAAGAAATAGCAAAGATTATGAGATATACAAATTCAGTTCAAACAATAAACTAGTTCAAATAAAAAACTAATCAAGAACGTAAAACACAAAACTTAACTTAAATATCAATATTGCAACTTAATCTTCCAGAATGTAATACTTGTCTTTTCCTCAAAATGAACAAAGCCTGAAAAATATGTTTTTTTTTTATACGAAAATGTTGCAAGGAACAGAATAACATCTTGGGTGTAATCATGAAGAGGAAGAAGAAAAAATACCCGCTTTTCTAGTTTAGACATTTCTTCGAACACTTTTTGTGCAGAACTAACGTATGGTTGCTCTTATCCTTCTTGAACTTGATTAACCCATAGAAAATGTATAGAACAAGCTCCTAAAAAGCAGAGAGCAAAAACAAGGTTGCACTAAACAATAAAAACTGACAAAATTCTGATATGTATAACCTTTGAATTTCTAAAACCAACTTTAATAAAGCCATCCATGAATGAATAAAGAGAGAAAATCAGGGGAGACCACAAATGATACACTGTGTAGAAATCTAAGAACGGGCACAAATATTAAGAAAAAATTGAATAGTCTAGGGTTCAAAACCCTGGAAGGTCCAAACGAGAAAATTCATGGAATACAAGAAGACGCAAGTCATGTATTACCCGACTTAGATAGTGAAAAAGATGGAAGAAGCTGATGAAACCTGAGCTCGAGAAGAGTACATCGCGATTCAGAGCTTCTCCAAGTCGTCCGTCGCCGGCAAAGCTAGCAGGTATCCAAACATCTCTTCGTTGATGAATAATAAATGAAATAAGAATTGGGGAAGGGATTCCAGGAAGAAAAACTGGAAAAAATGAAGATGTTGAGTGTACCAATACCCACCCTTCTGCCATGTCTACGGAAGTGCTTCAATACTTTAGCTTTTAGTTATCTTAGGGCATTTTAATTGATTGCTTCTAACTTTGGGCTTGGGCTTCTTAATGGACCAAGTTTATATTTTGGCACTCATTTTTTCCATTAGATATTAAAGGTGTTACATTAGCTTCAATTAAAGATAACAATTATCAAAGGAATGTAACACTCTACCGAACACAATAGAAGTGTTACCTGAAGATAGTATCTAGTGTAACAGGGGAGTAAAAAGTTGAAAGGATATGAGAATTAAAAATTGGAAATTGAAAACGGAAGGGAATAAAAAAATACCTATAGTGGAACTCAAAGGCATCTCAACTCTAATCAACTCCGAACATGTAGAGAAGAAGTTTTGCTTCCGATCGGAGATGATTCCCCGGCTGAACTCAGTTAATTTCTTATGAAGGAGGTAGGTAAGAAATCTGAAATCAACAACTTTTTTTATTAGTCTTACAAAATTGAATCACAAAAATTTATTCAAACTGTCAAAGTGTAAGAAGATTATACTCATGTACCTACTTTTTATATGAATATGACTTGAAAAAAATTAATTTAGTTTATACTACTGAAACATCAAAGAAATCAATGAAATTAATTAATTAATTACATACTTATGTGCCTACTCTTCAAATGGTTCAAGTATGGCGGTATTGACTCTTATTTGTTATGACTAAAAAATGCATACAAACAAAACATTACAATGTCAATAAGTTTTATACCTTTTTTGACAGCCAACTTTCTAACTTATCATCACTCAAGAGTTTCAAAAAAAAATGTGTATATATAGGAATATGAAGTTGTTGGTTTCATATAATCAAGCCTGCGATCAATTTTCTAAAGCAGAAATCTTCTTTCCTGCAACCTGCAAATCCTTGATGGGAATCTTAAAATACAAATCCACAATGTAATTGGAGTTATCAGTGAGATAGGGCTTATCCCCATCCAATCTCAACAATAATTATCCCCATCCAATTCTCGCTTTTACCGGAGTAAAACCATTGTGGTCTTCTTCTTTGTTAGTACCTGAAAAAGAGTGAACAACTGTATGGATGTCCTCAGAAATAACATCATCATTGGACTGAGTAGGGACATGTGTGGTATGAGTACACGGAGGATCAGACAGAATATCATCATGTCCTGTTATAGCACCATTAGTAGCAAAGGCATTAGGGGCACATGTTTGATGAACAACTCCTGCGATTACTGCCTTGTTACAGGTAGCCATCGGGGGTTCATCAAACACATATGGTTCCAAAGATTCAGGCACACGTGCATCAGCATCGGGGGTCACCAGTAAGCAAGTTGTGTCAGCCTTAGGTAAACGTTTAACAACAGAAGCATCAAAATGGACAGTAGCATCACCTTTGTTAACCAAGGGGTCAAAATCAAGCATAGTGGTATCTGAAAGAGCAATAGGGGCATCAGTAGAACAAACTGTCAATAGCAGCTATAGCAGTTATCATTAGGGGCTTCCCAAACTGTGTTAACAGGACCAACACCATCAGAGGTACCGGGTAAAGCTTGGATTCCAGGCTGTGCTGAAACAACCTGGACAACAAGTTTACCAGCAGTAGCCTTATTACCTGTAGCAGCAGAAGAGGTGTTGTATGCACAACAGAAATAGGTACAAGATTCACAACAGTAGTGACACAATTAGTAGCCAAATTCAGTGGGTTAGGCCCCAAAATTGAGGTTGCCCAAGGACAGCCAGTCAATTTGTGGCCAAACCGTGAACACCTGTGGTAGAAAGTAGGTAAATTCTCATACACAATGGGCTGTAAAAATCCGTTTTTACCATTTCCTATCCAGATATTATTTGGGAGCTTCTGAAAAACATCAAGTTCAATACAAATTCTTGCAACGAAGGGTCAGGAGAAATTAGAAGTGGTGCATGAATACGAATAGGCTTTCAGTGCAAACCCTAACGCCTTAAAGGCTTAAAACATTTTTCGCTTTAAGAAGACAGACCGAAAAGGGTTGGGCGAACCCTAATGCCTTAAAGGCATTGCGGATCAGAGGGGAAGGTTCTGACAAGGGCGTAATGGAAGGGACAAGAGAGAACTTGTACCTCATCCGCAGAGATGGAGACCGCTCGGTAGCCATTGAAGGTTCCGGAAGATCCCAGAAAGCTCGCATCGGCGAGAGAGCAGCTCTGTGTGTGCGGGCGATGGCCGGGGGCTGAGTCCCTTACCACCGTTGCATACGAAGACTT